GTGTCGAACAAGCCGGCATTTAAAAATGGCGCCGGCCGGCTTATGCAAATGAAGCCCGGGAAATTCAAATCCCGGGCTTCATTTGCAAGTGCGGTATGCCTACATTACCACCCTAGTTCGAACTAGGGTGGTAGTATAGACATACCCTAACATACTCCCAACTCTCTCCCCTTTTTTCTGGTGCTCATTGTAGTATATGTGTGGGTATTGAATGTAATAACTCTTTGCCATCTCCCTGCCAATACTAATCTCTCTCCATCTCCCCTCCCCCGCATCTCCCCATAGTAGGCTCTTTCAGGCTTCATCCAGAAAAATTCTAGTTTACTCACCTCACAGCTTCCCTTGGGAAACTATTCTAATATACCTCACTGTTGGGGAAGGTTTGCTAATCAAGCACAATGCTTTTCTTTTCTCTATTACATTTCTCTTTAACCCTTGGACAATCCTGTACAATTCTTTTTCCTTTAAGCATCCTTCAGATACTTGCACAGTTATTGTGCCATTTTTTATAAGAAACAGAGTTCTTATAAAGAGAAAGAGAAATGCTTGAGTGAAATCAAGGGCAGAATTGGTAGAAATGTAAGTTTTGATGCCTCAACATGTCCCATCTATGTCGATCCCTGCATTAGTGAAGAACGAATTTCAGAGTTAGGGCCTTAGTTAATATTTCTGTTGGTGTACGAGATCTACATACATAGGAGCAAACGTGGTGAGTAAGAAAGTGCAGAAATATCTCAGCAGTGGTGAGGAATGTACCCACTTCTGCCAAAGATAAAAGTTTTACCCACTTGAAAAATACAAGTCAGCTAATCATTCAAATAGCATGTGTTCCAGTCTAGCTCTGCCACTCCCAACAAATCCTTGCATTCCATGGTGCAGAAGCTTGGGCTTTTCATGAATAATTTTCACCTCTGAGTAGCAAATCAGCTGTAAAATGAAGATCAGGCACCCCGTGGCAGTCCCTTACCCAGTGGCAACACAACAGTGTTATTGTGTGCAGCCTGCAGATTACCACATCTGATATTCTTGATTGGTAAGCAGCAGGCTCATCAGGTACATGGTTCTCTCTAAACCGAACTAACATAAGCTGCAGTTTTGTGTGTGTAAACAGATGATCAGATCCAGATTGCATGTTTCTAGCAATCAATAAGGGTACGTCTACACCTCCCGCTTATTTCGAAATAAGCTAATCCAGAATAGTTATTCAGAAATAGCTTTTTTCAAAATAGCACATCTACACTGCAGGGAAGCCTCAAAACTAGTCTGAGACAGGCTTCCCTAATGTGCTATCTCAATTTAAAGCCCTTGGAGGCACTGGGAGGAATAACTGCTGCTCTCCACGCTGGCTACAGAAGAAGGCTTTACTTAGGCCTTCCAACATGGTTACAGAAAAACCATGTTGTTACAGATGGATCACATGACTTATGAGGAAGGGCTACGGGATTTGGGCTTATTTAGTCTGCAGAAGAGAAGAGTGAGGGGGGATTTTATAGCAGCCTTCAACTTCCTGAAGGGGGGTTGAAAAGTGGATGGAGAGAGGCTGTTCTCAGTGGTGACCAATAACAGATCAAGGAGCAGTGGTTTCAAGTTACAGTGAGGAGGTCTAGGTTGGCTATAAGGAAAAACTATTGCACTAGGACCGTGGTCCCCAACCAGTAGATCGCGAGCTACCGGTAGAGCTCAGGGGCTCTAAGAGTAGCTCTTGAACCCTCTCTGAACTGTGTGCCTGTGCAGTACATTTACATTAGATTTCCTCATTTGAGGAGCAGCTACTCACGAGCAACAACACAGGTGAGTAGCTGCGAGGAATGGTGGGAGCTGGGAGGTCAGGAGGGCTGAAACACCCCAGCAAGCTGACTGTGGCTTTCAGCTGAAAGAGGCTGCCCTGCACTCCAGCTGATCGGCGGCTTCTCCTCTTCTCCTGCCCACGTGGAGCTTGGTGCACCCTGGCTGAGCGCCATGGCCAGCTGGCCGGGCAGCTACTTCTCTTTCCTCCCGCCCGGCTGGTCTCCACTCACA